GCTGTATTTGCTCTGTATTATGACAAATTCCCTTTTATCTGACTGTAGGTACAGAAAGTCCCATAAGCCTGAAAATGTTTTTTGACATTCATGGCTTTTAGAGTAAAGATTTTCAAAGGACTGCTGAAAATTATGACCTGCAGCTGTATTTTTATGAATCTGTGGCTGAGCTGAAAGAGGCCTTCTTCTGTCATAATAATCAGCCAAACCGCTACCAGCCCAGACCTTACGGCAGTCATCCCAGCAGGGACATCACGATAATGTATTTTAGTGAGCAGGGAAGTAACACAGGAGACAAGTAACAATGGCTGCTTAGAGTTATGCATTAAAAAAAAGGAAAAAAAAAAAAAGACAAGAAAAAAAAGGAAGAGTAAAAACCACTGGAATTAACTCCTCTAGGACAAGAGGATATCTTTTAACATAGCAACAAAACTTGGTTTAATGCTTTACAAGAGACAAATTTTTAAACTAATCACATGAAGATTTACCATAGCTCCAAACATCACTCTGATGCGTAAATTTCCTGTAGTGTATGCACTCCAGAGCCATCCACTTAATTGGCATCTAGGAAAAGACAAGAAAAATGTAACCTTAGAAATATAATATTAAAACAATACAGATCCTGTATGTAAACATCAGCTTCCTCCCTGTTTCCTTTTTCAACTGCAAGCTTAGAAAAAAAAAAAAGCAGCCCTACCCAGCAGAGGAAATGGTTGTTCCTGCCCTCTAGAATGGGGCTTTGCATCATAAAACATATGGAGGTAAGAAATATGAACCAGGCAACTGCAGAACTTCTCATACTGCCCAAATTCTACTGATTCAGAGGTAATGGAACACCTCACTTTTTCATCATACCCATGTAAAGACAGGACCAATGCAAAAATTATATCCAATCCCCCTAAATCGGAAGTGCAGCAGAGAAGGCAGAATACAGAAGCATTTTTGCCTCAACAGTTCACAAAACCAGACACTGCTATCTCGACTGCTCTCCAATGAGATCAGATAATAATGCAGTGTCCATAATACTTCACAGTCCACATAATCATCATGAGAGTAAACAGGCAATGGGGAGGATTTACAGTGCTTCATTTCTAACTCCTAATATTCGTTAGGAACTTAGCCTTCCCAGTTCTCCATCATTACTGCAGTTAGAAAAGTTGCTCCTGAAAGCAAGTCAGAAGTTAGCTTTTGGCTCTGAATCACCCTTGCAGGGAGCTCATCTCTTCTGACAGAGAAAGCTGTGTAGACAAACACAAACCCAGGTTTGGCATACGGGTTCGCCCTCTTGAGTTCATGTTAAAATGAGATTCACAGGGTTTCCTATTCCTGAGCTGGGCCTGTGAGGGCACAGCCTTGCAGTCCATTAATTTCTAATGGGCAGACATTAAAAACAGATTTTTACCTTGCAAGGACTTGTATGGGTCGCCTCTAATTTGGAACTATGGAAGATGTACTGGAATAAACCAGAGAGATATGCAACTGCATGCAACATCTGAGCCGATGGTGGGTGTAAAAGCAGAGGATGTGCCTTCATTCAAACCCTTATGAAAACACCTTCCATGAAGCTGACTAATGAACATAACCTATACAGTTATGGCAAAAATAGCACTCTTCAAAAAAGGTTGGCTTAGCACTTGCAAAGACAGTTCATCCTCCTCCACTAAACTCTGCAAAAGCCTATTGCTTTCATTCACATTAAATACAACCAGGTCATTCCAAACTTGAAGAATTGCTAAAGTATCAAAGCTGCATTGCTCATTGCTCACTGCGGGATAGCTCAGGTTGGACAGGACCGCAGGAGGTCTCTAGCCCTACCTCAGGCTCAAAGCAAGCTCAGCTATGAGATCCGACCAAGTCACTCAGGGCTTTATCCAGTCTGGACTTGAAAATCTCTAACAATGGAAACTGCACCACCTCCCTGGGCAACCTGATCCACCACCTGATTGTCCTCATAGTGAAAAAGTTTTTTCTTTTATCCAGTCTGAACCTGTCACAGCATGTTCTCAATACAACTTTAAGTTGCGAACGCCTTCTGGATTTCACAGGATGTTTTCTCTGGAACTGGGAAGTGACAGATCTGATGTGCAAATCCTGCTCCAGAACTCCTAGCAGTGTGATTAGCCTCACAAGTCCAAGCCATCATCTAACAGCTGCCAGGGAACAGCTGGTTCGCAAGGACCAGCTCATTTTCTGTCATTCACTGGCTGATGGAGGGAAGAGGCAGAGGGGTTATTGAAGAGGGGATTAGAGAACTGAAGGAATCAGGGAAGACTGCCAAAACTCCACCTTCCCTGCCAAGGGGTCTCTTCACTGGGGAAATGGGAAAGCACCGGTGACTCCTTTCAAGCTCTTCACCTCGCTGACTGAAATGCTGGTGTAATCCACCCAACAGCTGCCAAAGGCAGCAGCCACACAAATAAAGCAGCAGTCTCTCCAGGAGAAAAGCACACACTGGCAACAGCTGTCTGTCCCAGACAAGGGCATGAGCGAGCACAGAAAAACACAGATAGCAAACAGACAGAAAGCAAACTGAACATTCAGGAAAAGGAACGACAGGAGAGGCAGAATCCCTTGGGATTCTGTGACAGGTTGAAATGTGGAATTTCAAGATGTTTAGGGAGCAGCCGGCAGCAATATATACTTACAGCCTTTACTTACAGCCTTCTGCATTTTATAATGCATTAATCTGAAGGAATCAGAAATGAGGTGAGGCACTACATGGACATTGTGTGGTATGCTGAAAAGTAATATGGGAAAATGTCTGGTTTCAGAATTATCCTCAAGATAGCTTTTTGGGGGCCTGGCATTCAGCACGGTATTGGAGACTTGGATGCAAGAAATGGTATATGCAGGCTCTTCCAAAGTGATAGAAGAGGTGGCTCTTTGCTGTGCATATGTAAACTCTCATATGCTACAAATACAGACATGTTCTGGGGCCTTCCTTTTTGTTTTCTGGAGAACTACTTGTCTGGGAAAATGGGACTGTAAGCTACTGAGAGGCCCCAGAGAAAGGGGCTTGGCAGAAATGCCCTAGAACATCTGTCACTCGTTGAACTGACTGCAGAAGTTTTCAAAACAAGACAGAAAATGAAGCATATGAACAAAACCTAATTCTGAGTGTGAAAACTGTTCAGACAATTATATTTCAGCACCTGGTGAAGTCTGCTGAGCAAAAAAAATGAGCAGCTTTTATGTGTGCTGTCACAATACAGTTTGCTAAGCCACTGACAGTCTTTCTTACATAGATAATAGTCCCGTAGGGATACACTGCCCTAAAAAGCAACTTCAGGAGGTTTGTCACAGTGATGTATCTATTTACAGACATGTACAGTGCTCACCTTCCCTCCATCAGCATTATACTCCTTCTCATCACCTTCCAAAAGTCTGGCCAAGCCAAAGTCAGTGATCTTCACATGGTTTGGTGATTTCACCAAGACATTACGGGCTGCCAGGTCCCGGTGGACAAGTCTCCTCTCTTCCAGGTACATCATTCCCTGAAGGACAGAGAAGAATAAAGTAATCTTAGTGAGTTTTACATGATTTTTTAGAACTACTTTTCACTGGTGACATGTAAAATTTCTGGTTCCCTTACTAGTATTCACAATCAGAAAATAGCCCAGAGGGCAGAAGTTTAACACTGCCCTTGCTCTGAGCAGGAGGTGCAATTAGATGACCTTAGGTTCCCTCCAATGTGAATGATTCTATAAGATTCTTTGGTAACTGCCAAAGGAAAAAAAAAATGCAAAACAAACAAACAGCAAAAAACCATATAAATATCTCCTTTGCTCCAGCAAGTTTAAAATCTGGAAGTGTGAGACAAACGGAAGAAATATTATGGCCCTCATTTTTCAGACAGGAAATCTGAAGACTATAAAAAATAATCAACTTGGCCAGAGCCCCACAGAAGTTAGGCCAGACTGGGAAACAATCCCAGCTCTTCTATGTTCCAGGCAAGTGTCTTCAGTTCAAGATGAAGCTTCTTATCTATCTCCAAATGCTTCTAAGTTGGACACAGATTTTCACTACCCTCAGTGGATTAGAAGGAAAACAATTCTTTATTCTAAGTGCTGCAGCCCACTTGCTTTTTCACTCCCTTGAAATTTTGCATGTAATATTATAGACACTAGTTCAATAGCCATTTTTTTTAACGAGGATATATATTCTGTTAGAAGGATTTCTGTTAACAAGCCCATTCAGCTGCCTGGCCTTAACCTTATTCTTACTCTGATGAGAGACCAACCATCTACTATCAGTATGGAAGTTTACATGATACTTTGTGACACTGAGATGAACACCAAAGCTTGGTCTTATTAATTATCTGACACACAAAGGATAGTCAGGCAGGGCTACAAGCCTATAATTTCATTAAAAGGCATTTATGACATTAACCGTCATTACAACAATCTACAGATGAAATTACACACTTGATAATTACCCTTAAGGTATCTCTTAATATATTAGCTCTGCATAATATATATGGTAATTTTTAAAAAGTCATTGTTGAATACAGAAGAGATCATATTATCCCACAATACACATGCTAATTCAGAGAGTCACAGGTAGTGATTAAAATAACCAGATTACTCAGTGTCATAGGCCAGATTTTATTCCCTTTCACACCATAAGAAGCTCACACATACCTATCCCCATACACACCAGGAGGACAATTGTTATGGGTAAGCCACCACTGGTCCAGAATGGAGCCCTTTCTTGACAAAAGTTGATGTCTTTACAAAAAGGGTTAAGTGGAGTTCTCAACTGCTGTGGCTTTTAGATGAAAAATTCCAGGGCAAGCACCACTAAAAGGTTTGAAAATATGTGGGAGAACATCTGTCATAAACACTATTTCATTTTTAATGTGGTAGGCTTTGCTGCAGTCAACACAAAGGGGGTTTGAAAGGGGACACAAGGACTCTTTGGTATAAAGCAAATGGAATTATTTTTTTAAAGGACTGCTAGCTGAAGCAAACACACCCTCCTGCCAATTGCAAATCAATACTTCTAGCTGTTGAACATCAGAACTGTAAGTCTTTAAAAGCCTGTTTTTTGACATGAAATTAAAACCTGTAGAAAAAGGACAAATAGATCTCATAGATCAAACAATCACAAGTCACACAACAAACACACCATGAAACCAGAGGCACCAGGACTTAGCACAAGACCTACCATCTGAAGAAATCCAACCAGAAAAAGACAACACAGTCAATAGCAACAACACTGGGTAATAGAGGAAAAACAACCCCAAAAGTGGCCCTATAAAATTCAGACAGATTACAAATTCATATAAATCCTGTTTCACATCTCTAACACTGAACAGTAACCAGAAAGCGCTTCAGGGCAGCGTCAACATCGCGCATACCACATACTCTGGGAAGTAGGTGGGCTACAGCAACCTCCCATTCTCATGTCCCTCCCTTTCACCTGGGGTGAAAGGTCCAAACCTGCAAAAAGAACTTTGTGGGCAGAATCTGATGAGGACACAAGAACCCAGAGAATTTGATGAGAGAATTCTGTTGGTATCAGAATACATTAAGCCCAAATAAAATGGTAATTTTTAGATTAATTTGCACATATCAGCACTGAAACGCGATGAAGAAATTGAAGATTTCATCTGGCAGAAATAAAGAAACAGAATCTCTGTCTCGTTAAAATCAAAACAGATGACCTGTGCCAAGGCTGTAGCCTCCCGTCTTTAGCTAATGATAGCAGGAATTTTTAAGGTGTCCAGAAACATCCTTCATTGAAAGAGTTAAACACTCTTAACCATGCCTCCTTGGTCTTATTTCACCTTTTCTACATATTTCATCTTCAAACATTTTTTAAACATGTAGGGTGACACTTCAGGATGTTTTACTGTTTATTCTACTAATTAATTTCCATTTATTTCAATCTTGTGCTATTATTTAATATTATATTGGTAAGATTAGATTTTATTCAACCTAACCTCATACTCTCTTATGAACTAGAAAGATGTCTAATTGCCAACTTGAATACTGCTCCTAACCAATACCACACCTGGTTTTCTGTTCTATCCAGAAAGAGTATAGAAACAGCTGTCTGTGTATCATTGTACTCACAGTTTACTTCACCTCTGTCAAACAAGCTTCTCAGGGCTTTTTCCCACCTGTGTTATCTGCAAAGCTAAAAACAACCCATGTAGGGTTGACAGCTACAAAATCCTCTGCAGGTCGTGCGAATCCTCTTAGGAATACCCAGTGTAAACATGTTCAATTTCCTGATATCCTATCAACATATTTTAAAGGCGGATGGCAGAAGTATAAGAGAAAAGGCATATATTTATTTTTTTCAATAAATTAGATTATGCAAGCAGAATGAAAACTATCTAAAAATGGGAATCCTACAGTATTCACTGCAGCAACACTGTCTAAACATATATTATGCCAAGAATCATCATTTGAAGGCATTTTTGAACCTGCCAGAAAAAGTGCTCTACATGCCTCTGATTTTTTACATGACACAGAAGTATGATAACAAAAAAACCCTCTCTGCATTACACAGCTCGTGCCATCACCACCCAACAAGCCTATAATCAAATACCAAGAGGACATTTTAGGAGAGTTACAAGACAGAACTACAAGTGACCCTAGACCCTGACAAGGGAAAGAAATCTGTATGTAAAAATGCCACATAAAAGCCTGACCCAAAAGATACTATGCTGTGCCATTTGTGGTGTGATCTGTGACGCTTGGGAAATGAAGTGCCCTTCAGGACTTGTCCAAATTAGAGCTATGCAGATCCAATATAATTATCGAAGTATAAAATGTCCAAATAATAAGAAACCACAGACGTCAGTATACGTACTAGAACATCCACGATAGGGTGGGACTTTATGCTGAAACCACTGAGAGGAAAAAGTTCAACACTAAGCCATTAAGGATTACAGTTGTGCCATTATCTCTGAGCCCAGATTCATCTCACACCAACACAAGAACCAGCCATGACCCACCCATCACTGACACTTCCTCATCATGCTCATGCCAGAGGTTTCCTCACAGAGAATGTCATTAGAAATGCAATTACTGCGAGGATTCCTTAACAAAATCACTCTCTGAAAAGCACCTAATGCTATTAAGAAGTCAAACAGCCACTGCAAACAGCTGTAGCACAGCTAAGTCGAGGAGGTCCTTTTGGAACTCCAGGATAAGCGAGGAATAGCCTTTTATCTTTCACAACTGTGCGCCTTTATCCTTACTCTGTATCAGAGTCTCATATGAAGACAGATCTGTGCTATATGGATCTTTACTTAGACATACACCGCAGTAAAAGCACCTGCAGCCTAGATCCCTTCTACACGTGTGATTACACAACTGTCAAAATGCAAACTCTCCTTTCAGAAGCAGGCACAAATGCCCTTGCCAGGACTTCGATTATTGTTAAAGGTCTTTTATCCTTGCCTGCACAACGACTAACCTGACCTGCCCACACGTTTATGTTTCACACAAGGCTTGCAACAGCACCAGGGAAACTCATCACAATCCCGAGGGTGAGAATAGGCTTGTAATAAGCCAAGACAGCTCTGTTCAAAGAATGGAGGAGGACAGGAAAGATGCAAATGGCCACTAGGAGCTTAACTCTAGTACGAATTTCCTGCTTGTCACTTTTTAGCCTTGACAGTTTGCTATGTAATAACCAGAGGGGGGAAAAAAAAATCAGCAGTTTTACTAGCTGAGGTGAATCAACTCTAGTACGAATTTCCTGCTTGTCACTTTTTAGCCTTGACAGTTTGCTATGTAATAACCAGAGGGTGCAAAAAAAAAATCAGCAGTTTTACTAGTTCAGGTGAATCCTGCTCTCTACCCATCAGTTTACTCTCAGAGCTGGCTAGAAATAGCAAAGAACAAAAATTATATTGTTGAATAGACTAAAAGTTAATCATTAAGAGCTACAAAAGAGGAAAGCCTTTCCCAATTTTACTACGGAGTGTTTGTGAAGTCTCTGGGACTGTGGATAGACACATTTGGCATGGTCATTTCAGGTATGGTCAGGTATGCTCATGTTCTTCTCACAAGAAAAACGACAGACCTGAAAATGAGATAACGCGTGCTGGCAGCAAACTGAAGTGGAACAGCGGAAAGGAGACTTTGTGCCAAAAATCCATGGGAGGAGAGAAGACAATGAGACGGGACAGCTTTCTGATCTAAGTGCTGAACTGCAGTAGAAAGCATCAAGTTAGGTTCAGAAAGTATTAGGATTTCGAGTGCTGCAGGCATCTACAGAAGTGTATCATCAAAGGTGGGCTAGTGGTGGAAATAAAAGAATAGAGGGGTTTTTTAAAAAAGGAAAATGAAGCTTTTCTGGAAAGTGATGGGTTTGTCCCCTGAGATCTCCTGCCTTTAAGATGTGGCCATAATTTACTGTTTTCTTACTTCACTACCAGTGTTACTTTCTGCTGCTGTCATTTCTCTCCCAGTTCCTGAGGGCAGTTTTAGAGCACAGCCTCTATTTGTACAGCCTGGAGCATAAGAGCTGTAAG